TAATATTGACCGTTTACTATTTTTTATATCAAAGTAATTTCATGTTTTCCGTCATTGAGTTATAAATATTGGTTAATCCCTTATAGTACGCTCATTTACATTTTATGATGTATTGTATTCGAGATTTTTCGGGGTGGTCATACTAAAATCTTGTGAAAATTTAGATAGGAAGGTATAAATAATTACTTTTTTCTTCTTTGAACAATCCTGAATATAGACCTTTGCCATAAAAACTATGCATTTTTTAAATAAACTATAATTAAATATTTCGATTGCTAAGAATTTTTTAATGAGACTAAAACACAATTTAAATTGTATCTTTAATTAGAATGTTAGAAAACACCCGTTAAAATCTGATAGGAAAAGATTGAGTTAAAAAAAAATAATATTTTTCAGGTTTTGGTACGTTATACACCAAAATTAAACTTTCTGCTATTTTGAGTTTAGACGATTTCTTGTGCTTTCCTATACGGCCGTAACTCAGAATATCTTAAAGTAGATTTTTTAAAGTATTCTTCAGTATAATATGACTATAATATGACATTTTAAAATAAAAAATTAACGCAATGAACAATCATTGCTGAATTTCCCATAAAAATACTTTTTCGAAACGTGTTATGCTTAGTACTTCAATATTTTAATTGTACTAGTCAGAGTGGTGGAGAGGAGCGGAATAAAATGACAATTAATGATATTTTAGAAAGTTGTCTTCCTTGAAATAAAAATCGAACTTTTTTGCAATGTATTTTAAGATATTACGAAATAGAGCAGAGACAGTTGAAAAGGCCTTTGTGTAGAGAGGTAGTAAACGTCAAACCCCTTCGGACAACTTTAATAATTTTACGGTAATGTTTATTTGTCAGTGTTGTATCATAGAATAAAAATAATAACAGACATTTTAAATAATTAGCGACCGAATCGGACAATCGTATCTATTTATGGGCTTAATGTAATAAATAATATCCAAAATCATAATTCTACAAAATTTCAACAGCTATTCACAATTTATTAAAATATTTATACGGAATTGTTATTAGCATCTATAAAATAATTTTCTACGCCAATGTTAAGCGTTCACTACTTTGGTTAACTCTGCGGCAAAACTGTCAAATCCTGTGTATGAAATGGGAGAATTGAGAAAATATTTTTCAATTTTTGCCCCTGCGCTACCACCGATCTCTGCCCTTAATGAATCGCCCTATACTAACTGAAAAAATATGTTATGATATCAATCGATTACTAATTTTAAAGCTTGTAAAGCAGGTCTACCTGTGTGACCATAGTTTTTCATAGGAAACTAAACAATAACAATACGTGGCAACACTGTTGGACGTCTAATAGGCGGTAGAGTGCACAATATTTATACATTTGGAACTCCGAATGTCGAACTATGAATGGAGGTTCGAAAACTGTATTATGAAAAATATCTAAAAAAGAAAAAATGAGTTTATCAAATAGTTAAGCCGATATACATGGGTTATTTTTAGTGTAAAATCCATATACATTCCCAAATTTACATAAATACTTCGTTTTAAGGTGGACGCCCAATGCTTGGGGATGAAAGTGACGTCCGATTGATAGCAGGATTTATATATATATATATATATATATATATATATATATATATATATATATATATATATATATATATATATCACACACGTATTTCAAAATAGCAAAAGACATGTATTGAAATGTAAAAAAATATCGTCCTATGATCTGTGACATGTACGTCAAAGTTATCATTATAATTGTCATTACAAATTTTTATATTTCTGGTTTTGAGAAATAACGATCCACAACTGTCGGGCTCATCCGCAGTAGATAAAAAGTGTTCTGGTTTTTCTGGGACTACTTCCGATCTCTCAGTCCAGTGTTCTGGTTTCGTATCCGAAATAATCCGTGATTGTTTTAAATAGTCAAAATGTGTTCATGCTTGGGAGTGTCACATACTTTGATTACTATACGAGTTAAGAGAGAGGTCCGACACGCCCAACATAGGGCGCGGCCATTTTGAACCCTGTGACACAGTTTACAGCTAAAGAATCAGATCGCTCACTCTGCGTCGGCACTTTGGATCTCAATGTTTCAGTTTATACACTGTGCAACTCGGATAATACAATATATGACAACCGCCTATAATAAAACAGCAGTCTTCTGCATATCCTGAATTTGTATCCCTGGAGTGGATGTTATTTTGGAACTTTAAACTGGTCCGAGTGAGCTAACTGATTCTTTAGCAATAAACTGTGAGTTCAAAAATAATATTCACTGACACTGACAGCAGCAAGCAAAATATCAGGTGCGTTTTAATCATCCGCTTCTGCTTTCGGAATTGTCGGTTTAGTCGTTTTAACCCTATTATATTATCTAAGTTTTAACCTGTCAGATTAAAAATATTGCGCCAAGATGTAGGCAACACGTAATAAGGGTTCAAAATGGCGGAGTATTCTCTCCTTTTAAAAGGCACTCAGAAAGCTGCGCAGTGCGACCATTCTCCGTATAGTAAAAGAAAATCGAAGTATGTGGGGAGTGTGGATCGACTCGGACTGTTTTGACCGCGCATGCGTTTTTGAAGTGTTATGACTTATGAATATTGTATTGGCTTTTTAGACCATACGGAACGTATGCAATCCCAAATTCTTTATTTATATGTGGACGAATGTCTCTTGTTCTTGTTTTATTTGTAAATTAAAGCAACTTTAGAATTATTTTTTTTTAATATTCTCTGTTTTTATTTATTCCATTGAAATGTGATGATAATGATAAACATATGCATGCAAATGTTATTTGAAGCTGAGCTTTCAAAAGGAACTTCATTATTGTAATAAACAATAAACAAAACACCTTTATGTGTTCTGGTTTTCCAACAATTTCAAACAGTCGGGAATTTTTTGCCTTTACGCATACGGTCCGGCGCAGTTTCAAAACAGTTTTCATTTTGAGAACCAGAACAAACCTAATATACTTTCAGTGTCGAACGATGCTGTTTGACAATTTCAGTTGGCGGGAAGTAGGAATTACTTAAATAGTTATCATTTTAAATTCTATGTTCATTCAGAGCAAATTCTAAATCGTCTTCACTAGACAATATAAGTCTGAGAGAAAATCATCACCTTCTTCATCATTCATAAATAAATTAGGTACTATCCAAGAACAAACATAATTAAACAGAAAATCTGAAAAACAATTTAATTTAAAAACGTAAACACCATCAAGTATTAAACGTAAAATCCAACTAAAAAAGACGGGCCTTTCGTTTCAATGTACGCAGTGCGCATGTCAACCCAAGAAATACCAACTTTTAGTTTGGGATTGAAAGGACCGTACAGAAACCGATTCCAGAACGGTCCCATGTTTGGTTGGAACGCTAATCGGACGGTACAATGGATCGTCAATTCTCGGATGGAACGGACTTTATTTACTGCGCATGACGATGACCGTACGATGTACGGTTTTCTGTTAGATTGGAACAAACCTAATATCAAATGAGCAATAAAGTTTTTTATATGGGTTTTTAAAATTATAAAATAATAAAACATGTTTACTCACTATTATTTATCGAATATTGAAACAAAATTTTCTATAAAGGTACTTCTGGAAAGAAAATAATTTTCTTCTTCTTTTCCATAGTGTTATTTTCGGTTTCAAATACGACAATGTTAATTTTTGAGGTTATGTTTATGTTAGTGTTTACAATACACCTTTCTGTAGGTGTCTATTAGTTTGAAAATATCTAAAGTTTATTATGATTTGTGTTCAAATACATACTAGTGTCTACAAGATAATTCAAACTTTAAAATTAAGTGTTATAAAGATTACTGGTTAATGCATTTAAAAGAAAGTGAAGGAAAACTTATTCTTCATGGCTATTGTGATTATACTTAACCCAACAGGTAAGTTAAAAGTTTAAAAATTTGAAAAATTACATTAAGTAGGCTATGGTATTAATTGCCAAACACACAAGCTGTCATTTTGTAAAATTTTATTTTATTGTAAAATTGTATTGAGCTCGCAAAAAAATGTATTCTATACTAGTCGCGTCAAAGTAGGACTAAAAATGTAGAAACTTCGAACTTTGGTCGGAAAGGTCCGATTGGGCTATTTTTTTCTGCAAAATGTTCATTGAGACATGAGATTCAAAGTTCACCAAAATCTAGATGCCGCTCGGCCTCCCTCCCGCCCCAAATTCACCCCAATTGGGGGGAATTCTCGGCTTTTTTCAACAAGCCACACACTTTCTAAAACTGCATTCCCAAGCGGGGCAAATGTTCCGCTTGGGGGGTTTGAAGTGCCCTGAATCCATTATTTGGCTTAGGTCGCCTTTGCGACCTTCCCAGGGGTGTGTGACAAGGCGTCTGGGGGTCCAAAATATGAGATGTCCGTGGAAATGTGTTTGGGCTGCCAAGTTGCGTCAGGGGGGTTTAGAAGGGCGGAGATCTCAATTTCATCGAGAATTAGGCCTTTTCAAGCCATCAGAGCCGTATACACAGGGGCCCATGGGGTCTCAAATTTTATGATTACGCGGGATTGAATTTCAGGACACAGAATTGGTACGCGATAGTGTTATAAAACTAAAAACTCTATATTGGGCAGCCTGTCATCCTGTGACCCAACCAGGGGTGTCCAAAAGGGGTGCCGATATCAACATGTAAAATTGATATTCCGCCAGCGAGTATACTCCTTGGCCTTTTTGAGTCTCTGACCAACCCAGGTATGGGGTTCCAAGGGGCATCAAATTTAAATTCTCGTAAAATTCCATTTTCTCATACAAAGTTGGTATGATGAGGGTTTGTAAGAGTGTAATTTGATGTTGCCCTGGCTTGCAAGCAGGAGGCTCCACGAACGAGGGTGCTGAGGAAGTGAAACTATCAAGTTTCCCCTGGGACTCGATTTGTGTTCACTATAATTTTGAGCGGGACATGCCATTAACTGTTGCTGAAGAAAAATTCCTCTGTAGTTCAAAAAACAAGAAAAAATTCATTGCACTGGTAATAGAAATGCTCCAAAGAAATAATTTCATCTGTAAACAGGCTGAAAGTGTTGCAGATTGTTTAATTGTGAATACTGCTATTGAACACAGCATCCTGGGTAATGATTCCAACATTGTGATAGTAGCAGAATATATTGATCTGTTGGTATTACTTACAGCATTGGCACCAAATAGCAGGGAAATATTTTTTCACAAGCCGGCCAAAGGAAAACAAGTGCAGCAACATTATTCGTCCAAAAGCCTTGATTACTCGCCCTGTTTGAAAGAACATGTCTTACTTTTACATGCTATATCTGGTTGCGATACAACCTCATCATTTTATGGGAAGGGAAAAACAAAACTTCTAGATCTTGTACTTCAAAGTCCAACTTTGCAGGAAGCAGCAGCAACTTTCAAGCAGCCGAATGCTAATATTCAGGAAATATATAGCAGTGATGTAAAGTTAATTCTTGCGTGCTATAGTGCCAATACTTATTGATTTGAATGAATTTCGATATTTATGTTTTTAAAAAAACGTGGCAAAAAAACTGAAGTCCTACTTTGTAGTTTACCACCGACTTCAGATGCAGCATAAGAACATCTTAAAAGAGTGTATTTTCAAGTTCAGTGTTGGATGGGCCATGAATTGCAGCCAACAGATTGGGGATGGGAAGAAAAAGAAACTGATTCTTGGACCCCCAGCTCCAGATAAGTTATTGCGGACAATTTTTTGTTCCTGTAAGAAGGCTTTTAGTAAGAAATGTAAGTGTAAATGTTCAGGTATGAAGTGCACGATGACTTGTAAAAATTGTTTGGAGAAAGAGTGTGATAATTTAAAATTGGCGGCAACTGAAATTCAGCCTGTCGACAACCTTGATTCAATATTGGATTTAAACCTCTTAATAGAAAGAGACAAACCTTATATGGACAATTTATTGGGGACGATTTTCAACGTCACTGAAACGGATGATTTGTTGGAAGAAGCTGAACAAGAAGATGGAAGAACACAACACGATGGAATATGAATTTGTTGTAGAAAAAAGAAAAAAATTATATTATTCTGTAGGAATTGTTTTGGTGAAATGTCAAATTTTTCTATCACACCAGGCTACATTAAATATTCAAGAAAAACTCTAATTCCATTTCACGTTGAAACATTTCTTTTTCAATTCCATATCCACCGCAAACGTTTTACCAGCCTCAAAAGGTTAGCCAGGTAAGTTATATCAATTTTATGTAATGAAATCAAATCGAATCGTCCCAGGTGAACATGATAGTTTCGGCCCCTCAGGACGCTTGTTCGTGCAGCCCTGGGGCTACATGCTTGCAACATAAAATTACACACTTAAAAACCCTCATTATGCCGTCATCAACTTTATATGAGAAAATTGAATTTCACGAGACTTTAAATTTGGGCTCTCCTATCAGCCATATCTAGGTTCGTCAGAGACTCAAAAAGACCAAGAAGTATACTCGGTGGAGAAATTATATCAATTTTACATTTTGATATCAAATAAAATCAAATCTCATATTATGGGCCCAGCACCCTGTTCGGACACCCCTGGTTGGGTCACAGGATGACAGGCTGCTTAAATTTAGATTTGTTTGTTTTATAACAGTAGCGCGTACCAATTCTGTGTCCTGAAATTCAATCCCGCGTGATCATGATATTTGAGACCCCACGGGCTTCTTTTTATACGACCCTGAGGGCTTGAAAAGGCTTAATTCTCGATGACATTGAGATCTTCGCCCTTCTAAACTCCCCTAGCGCAATTTGGGAGCCCAAATACATTTCCACGGACATCTAGTATATTGGACCCCAGTGGCCCTGTCACCCACCCCTGGGAAGGTCGCAAAGGCGACCTGACCCAAATAATGAAACATTTACCCCGCTTGGGACTGCAATTTTATGAAGTATGCGCCTTTTGTTGAAAAAAGCCGAGAATTCCCCCCAATTGGGGTGAATTTGGGGGGAGGGAGGCCGAGCGGCATCTAGATTTTAGTGAACTTTGAATCTCATGTCTCAATTAACATTTTGTCAAAAAAATTAGCCCGATTGGACCTTTCCGACCAAAGTTCGAAGTGAAAACCTACTTTGACGCGACTATACTCTGTTTTTAAACTAAGAGGAGCGATTTGAAGTTAAGTTGGCAATTCTGTAGACTGCTGATTGGTCAGATTACAGTCAATTTCACACATTACTTTTTAGATAATTGTTATTGTTGACAGTTCTATTCTGACATTTCATATTTTAAGTTTTGTTATTGCTTTGATATCTCATCATTATTACTTAGTTTTTATTTTATTTCTTTAATAACAGTTCTTTACAAAACTTTAGTAAACAATTGTATTGAATTTCTACGATTATGGGCCCTTCTACATCGAATTCTATTATAGCAGTTCGTCGCAGAGTCCATCAAAACAAGGAAAGAATGAGTTTAGGCCATTCAGGTCTCTAAGAAAAGCAGTAAATTATAAATATGTACAAATAGGTATTGGATAATAATACAAAAACCAAAATTGTTGATGTTATATCCAAAATTTCTCAAGCCACCGGTAAGTTTTACTCATTACTTTCAAATTAAAAATAATATTACTAAACATTTTTTTTACAGTTATTGCAAAGTCAACTACTTACCGATTATTGAAATAATACTGCAATAATGGAACAATATCTAGTCCAAAAAGTATTTATGGAAGACGAGGACTTCTAAAAACATTTGATGAGAGGTTCTAAATGCTATTCGAAGATAGTAAAAGATTTTTTTTTAAAAATGAATTATCTAGATTGAATAAAATTTTGCAAGAATTAAAACATTTTGATTTGCCACAAATATAATATTCATCTTTATATACTTTTTTGAGACATAACATAAGTAAGTTGTAACTTTGAACAATCAAATGTACTGTTTATTTATTATGTATATTTTTTTAGATATTTGAAAAGAAATTGTCAAAGTGTATTGATAGAATGCATACCATGATAGAATGCTATATCTGTAGATTTAAAATCCATCAAACAATGTAGAAAAGAAAACATGCCAAGCTTTTACTTAGATGAAGGTCATAGTAAGGTTTATCCACAGGCCTGAAAAGCCTTACAAGAAAGTGAAGTTGCTTTAATATTATATATGCTAATTCTGAAGGTTTTGTAGAAAATGCATTTACCATGAAGAGACGAAATCCGAAGTATTTTAGAATCGGTTTTCTACTTTTTTACAAAGTTCCTAATGATGCTATGTTTGTGATGGAAAATGTATCAATAATAGTCTAAAAGTTGAAAAAATTTATTTAAATATGAAGCGATCAACCTTTACACCTAATTTGACAACAAAGATGCACATAACTTGTATGTTGTCGAAGAAATGGCTAAAGAAACCAATACATTTGTGTAGTGGCTGCCTCATATCACTGCTAGTTAAATCCCATAGAATTTATAGAGGCACAAATAAATGAGGTGGCAGCTAAAAACACTAGGAATCTTCTTATGTAAATTAACATATTGAGTACTTTGTGTTTTTTGTTTCTGTTTCAATGTAAATGTCAAGATCTACTTTGTCTTTTCACTTATTATGTTGTATAGGCACTTCTTATGCCTTTTCCTGTTTTTTTTTCCAACTTTATTAATTAAAATATAGCAAATTTACAAAATAAAGATACTACTATTCATATGTTGTTTTTCTAACTTATATTAAAAAAAAAAAAATACAAAACTACAGTGTAGTATACAAAAATTACAACTGCTGTCATTTTTATTGTAAAATTTAAAGGGTGCTACCTTACGCACATTTAAAATGATTACTTTTTAAGCACTCTATATTTAACTTTTAAATAAAAATTCTTGTTCTGCAAGGTATAAGTGGTAAGAGTAGAATTGAGCAGCTGTTTTTGAGATATCTGGATTTATAAAAGGGCTTCCTTTAAATTTTATAATAAAAATGAGAGCTTAAAATTTTGTAGTTACAGACTAAAAATATTAAAATTATTTAAATATGAAGCAATATCAACTTTTACACATAATTCGGCAACCCCTCAAGCCAAACATTTTGAAAATACACCAAAAAAAAAAAAAATATTCATGAAAAACTAAATTGAACTTTTAACACTCTGTATTTTCGAAATCATCCACTTTTGGACTGATGTAAGTTGGGTTAAATTGTTATATTTAAGCCTCAGGAATGTGGTAGCAATTTTTCCGCAATATAAATTGGTCAACATTGCTTTTTGGGTGTTCTACTTCTGATTTTTTTAACTAAATATTGATGAATTTCTAATCAAAATGTAAATGTAACTAAATATTCAAGTAAATTTTATTTATTTAAAAATAAACTATTTACAAAATTGTTAATTATCATTTAAAACTACAAAATATTTTGGATATTTTTAAAGTGCTATTCCCATCTGAATATGTCCATCATTTGTGGTGTTTATTCCGTTTTTGTGGCTTAAAAAATGTCAATATAACTTTTTTTATTATTTTAAATAAATAGCTTGGTACTTAAATAGTCAAAATCATAAAGTATTATCACTGTAACATTTGTTTCGGCACCCTTTTTAAACATTAAATTGCTATATGTATGTAAAAGGACTTTCCAAACAAGTGTCAAAAATGTTCTCTAGATATAATGTAAAAATTGCTCCTAAACGAAAGGATACAATTAAAACGTTATTTTCAAATTTTAAACCCAAACTCAAGAAAACAAATCAACTAAATGTAGTTTATAAAATATACTGCAAAAATTATAACTACACTGACACATATTAAATCTGTGAATGTGCAAAAGATTTGTCAAACATTTATGATCATACAAAATTAAGATATATATATATATATATATATATATATATATATATATATATATATATATATATATATATATAATGAACTTGAGTTATTGGGTTTGCAGCAAAATTGTTGATAAAATTAATGATGTGATTGAATTTTATCAACAATTTTTTCACGAACCAATCTCACTAAGTAGTAAGTAAACATTAATTGTTCATTATTCAATTTTAATTTTCCTGTAATAAATATTCTAGATCCCTGAAGATGAATGTATTCACATTCGAAAGCTTGGAATAAACTTATAAGAGTACACATATCGTTTTGCTGCAAACCCAATAACTCAAGTTCATTTCCTAACGAGTCAGCAAAGACTTCTTTCTTGTATATATATATATATATATATATATATATATATATATATATAAGACTTAAAGGATGTCTCAAAAAAATATACCATCTGCTTTATATTGTATAAAAAAATGTTTTCGAGAAGACCAAAGGCAACTGATACACAATGTGGAATTTATTGCAACAATTATCTACAAAAAAACAGGAGAATGATAAAAAACATTATTATAATAAAATCTGGCACCATTACACTTTCTTAGACTTCCACATATATTTAATGATCTGTTGCCAACAAGTTTACACTTTCCACTGTTGAATATAACATCTTGTTAGTGGGGACAACATTCGTATAGTTGTGATCCTTG